TTAATACTCTTTGATATTTACTCATAAAGTGACTACATATCTTTTTAGGTTGAGATGAAACACTCCTTCAAAGAAATATGTCTTTAATAGCAAATCTATTTTGTTTATACTTATCTATATTTATTTTGAAAATACATAAATCTTGCAGAATATGCTATAAAAGTCCAATATTATTTTAAAGTTAAATGAGTCTTCACACTTTTTTTAGTTATATCTTTTTTGATCTGAAGATGATGAGTTATATTAAAAGGAAGATGTTTATTCTTATTTTAAAATATTTTCCTAAATATCTATTAATGAGATTTAATTATAGAGATATAAATATCTCACTTGTAATTATTCAAGGATTTTCATTTTAATAAAAGACAATAACAAGTAAAGCCCAGCTTTGCCCAGTGTAGATTCCACTGAGGTCCTAATTTCATGTTCTCAGAAGGACTTTGATGATCCCAGCAGGGTTTTCCACCAGTGCAGAAACAGGGCAGCCAGGAGCTCCCAAAATGACATTTCCACATATGTCCCCATGGGTGTCCACAATGATTGGAGAATTACCAGGAAGGGAGGCTGACTTAATTAACTTTGAGAGTGTTTATGTTAGGGGAGCAAAGAGTAATTCATCATTAGAGTAGGCACTGGAAGCAGCAGAGAGGAAGAATGAGATTCTGCCTTTGAAGAAGCTGGTGGTTTCCTAGGGATAAATTACAGTGTAGAGGACTTACAAAAACTAAATATTAGAGAGGAATACCACATAGACTAATAATGCAGTTGAAAGTGTATTCAAGTGATAGTAGCAAGGATATCTGCCTTGCTCAACTCAGTTAATCAAAGATATCTGTGCTTAAATGTTTAATTTTGAGATTATCTTTCAATGAGTAGAGTTTTATGTGGGTGCATATGTGTATATGTGTGTGTATATATGTACAAGCATATGTATGCATGAGTTTTCATATAGTTCTGAACACAGGGGTTTTAGAGTCTTTAAAAGTATGGGATGCTATTGAAGTTAATGTCTTTCTAATTTAAATTGTTTAGTTATTATTAATCATGTATGTTACTGAATGTATAACAATAATTCACTGTATTTGTACAGAATGTATTGATGACATTCACCCTACTTTTATGCTCCTTCCTCCTTATTTCCAACTTGTACTAACCACGACTTGATACTCAGAGTTTTTGTTTTTGTTTTTATTTTTTTTGATTTTCCTATAAGAGAGAGAGAACCTACAGCACTTATCTTCTGTCTTTGCTTATTTCATTAAATACAATTTCTTCCCGTTTAATTCATTCTGTCTCTAATTACAAAATTTTATTAGTATTCTGGATAAATAATATTGTATCTTATATACAGCAATTTTTAATTCATTCCTATATTTATGAGAACTTAGCTAGTGGTTGGACCGTATATGAGGAATGCCACAAAACATGGAAATAAAGCTTTCTTTTTGGCACATGGACCTCATGTCTTTGCAATATGTACATGGAGGTAAAATAGTTGGATAATCCTAAAAATATTTCAATTATACCAATTTCGATAATGAGTGTTGTAATTCATCAGTACCAAGAATGGATGAGAGTTTCTTTTCTTTAAATCCTTGCTAGGATATTGCTGGTTTGAATAAAATATCATCATAATTTTGACTTACATTTCCACAATTGCCAGAGTCTTGAAATTTTTTTTATAAATTTCTTGCAATAGATATTTATTCTCTCATTAAGTGTCCATTCAGATCATTTCTCCATTTTAGTTGGATTATGTGGTTTTGTTATATTCCTAGAATTACTTATATATTTTGGATTTTTGTAGTGAGGAGCTGCAGGCAGACCTGCTTTTCGTCCCACCCGGCTCCCGCACGGCTAGCTTAGCTCCAGAAATGACAACACACAAATTGTATTCATTTAAACACTGCCTGGCCCATTATCTCTAGAGAGTTAGTTATTGGCTAACTCTCACATCTTGATTAACCCATTTTTAATAATCTGTGTAGCACCACGAGGTGGTGGCTTACCGGGAAAGATTTAGCATGTCTGACCTGGTGGCTGGCTCCATGGCATCTGCCTCATTGCCCTCTTCCCAGCATTCTGTTCTGTTTACTCCGCCTACCTAATTTTCTGTCTTATCAAAGGGCCAAGGCAGTCTCTTTATTAACCAATGAAAATAACACATAGACAGAAGGCCCACCTACATTAGATTTTGAACTTGCCAGGTTAATGTCTGCAAAGAATCGATCCTCAATTGTCTTAGTACCGAAATTTTTTCTTCAGGTTTACTGATAATTTTCAGTTATGGGTAATGACATGTGTGACTTGTATCTTCTTCATCTTTATGCTCATGCCAGGAAAATTATATACTATTCTAATGTCTCTATTTTCTTCTTGTAGATTGCTTTTCTTTGATTTTTTGATTCACCCTAACTTGATTATTATACAACGTTATATATGGAAGAAAACTGATGAGACATAAAAATAATGATAAACACATTCTGACTTAATTGGTGCATGTTTATGTCATTCAAACTAATTAGCTAAATAGGCAAAATAGGTCTACTCATAGTTTTGATCAGAAATCTTTCACTTGACTTAGGAAGCTTTGGGAAGTTTGTTTAGAATTCAGAATCAAAAACGACATTATAGAATTCATAGTCAATCATTAAGAAATGTATTAGCCAGTTGATTTCAGAAAATTATGCATAGAAAAATGAGAGTATAAGATAACATAATGGCAGTCTGAATGTGATAATGCAGGTGCATTGTAAAACACTTAAACAAACAAAATTCAAGGATTATGTGTGCATTAAAACTTGAGGTGAGTAGAAAAGGAACAATTAGATATTTGTCTAGAATTTTCTTTAGGCTTAAAGACAAAATGCTAAGATATTAGCAAAATTGAAAGTTTAGCAGAAGTAATTTACAAGACTAGATATATTCAGTGTGCTCTTCTTTCTATTCCTTTTCCAGAGAGCATTTATAGTCCTCAGTTCTCCCAGCAGACCCAACAACACCCGTCTTGTTATCATCTATATAAGTAATTCTGTTCCAGATATTAACAAACAAACTAACAAGCTTATCTCTTATTTATTAGAATGACATTGTCACAATTTACAGAGAACTGTTAAAAATACAAAAAAAAAAAAAAACCCGCTATGACTTGTCTTATTTATAGGGACATTGTGACAGGTTAGGCAGCTGTTCAAGCTTAAATAAACAAAAATACTTTGCCAAAGTGTTTAATGAAGAGATCTTATATAATGTCACATTCTTAATTCGTGTGCTTTTTCTAAACACTAACACTATAATGGAGACCTTTTCTTTCCCTTTTACTATTGTAGTAACTAGACAGTGATATGGGAATATGTACCATTTTCAGTCTTGGTGAAACAAGGACTCCACTCACACGCTAACTTGTGGGGAAAAACATCCTCTGTCTAAACTTTAGAATTCTCATTTGTAAATAAATTTCTGGGTGCCTGAGTGTGCCGAACCAAAAAATGTGCTGTGTGAATGTAGTAATTGCTAATATCATTTAATAAAATAATTTTATAAGTACCATGGCTCAAAATGTCAATTTTATTGGATTATATTAAGCAACAGTTAGAAGAGAGAGCTTTATTGAAATAATCAACCTTCTCGTGCTCTATTTCATTTCAGGATATCATCATAGCAGCTGCTATGCAAAGCACAAGGGGAACTTATGAAGTTTACTTGTTATTTTTGCCAAAGCTAGATTAGATAAATTATATCAAGCCCAACATTTAGAGAAAGTCTATAAGATATCAAAGAGTAGAAAGTTGTATAAATTGGATTTGTTTCCTTAATTTTGTTCTACAAAAGGAATTTCATTCATCCATTTCATACAGCAAATTCCTTACATGAAAAATACCATCCTTTAGTGAATGTGAATTCCAAATGCATCCCTTCTGTTAAATAAAACTTTTAGTTTTGAATCACGTTTATGTATATTGTATTTGTGTATGTATGTATGCATGTACGTATGTATGTGTATGTATGTTCATATGCATGTATGCATGTATGGCTGCACGCATGTGTGTGGTGGCACAGCACCTGTATGGAGGTCAGCAGACACATAGATGGAGTTACATCTTCCCGCTCACCTTGTGAGAGCTATGGAAAAAACTCAGGTAAGTGTTTTTTGTTCCAGGCTCCTTTACTCTTTGAAATATCTCACTGCCCACCATTGCATTCTTAAGCTATCAGAAATGTTGCCACAGTGAATTCAAATATAAAGAATGCTATTTAATAGCATTGGAAGCAGCTCAACAGAATATGCAGCTGTAAAATCACAAATGTCGCTTTTGTACAAGTACTATGATTAACAAATAGAATAATTTTGGAATCATACAAATTATATATTGATGTTTATTTGTTACTTTCACAAACAATTGAACTATGTGATTGCAATTCAAATCACTGAGTACAATACTAACTTTGAAACATTCAGATAAAAGTAGATCATGTGTTTGTATGTGTGTGTGTGTGTGTGTGTGTGCATATTTGTGTATAAATTTTCTCTCCAAGATTGTATTTCATTTGGAAGAAATGGCTTACTGGAAATTCATGTGTACACATGCTAGAATATCTTCAATGTACTGTAGAAGACTGATTGTATACACTTGTGTTCTTTAAATCACTGTAGAAAACTTATCTAGTGTAGGCTAGACTCTGATTTGTTTCACTGAACTAAAATCAAAAACAAAGGAGAAAGATAAAAAGAGAGATAAAGATAACATGGACTCATTCTTTTCCTTCAAAATAAATCTACCCTCTTAACTAAATAAAATGGAAGATAAAGGAAGCCAGATAATAATACAAAATCATGAGATCTAAAAGGAAGATACAATGAGATAATTTTAGTTAATTGTATGGCAAGTTTAATCATGAAATGATGATTAGTTTGACTCTTAATATTCCTGTTCATCATCTACATCCCTTCTGATAAAACATTAAGACATAGGAGCAATTGCATGTTTATTATAAAATACCTTCAGATGCACTTTTGCTGTTGCTTTTCCTTTCAATTCTAGTCAGTGACTGAAACCTCAATAGGAGGACTTTAACTTTATTGAATTTCTCTCTTGCAAGATCTTCTCACTCAAATGAGGACTAAAATGTTAACTGAAGAAGGGAAAGAACTGAAGTATAGTAAAAAAAATAAAACATACCTAATATGTCTAGGTTCCCATGCCACCCATCAACCCCCACAGTTGTACAGCTAGAATTAGTTTATGATTTAGGGGGAAGAGAACATTTGGTGTATACTTAATTTAATTTTTCACCTAATTTCCTAAAAGAATTTCATCGAATGATTTAAAAAGTAATGGGCATCAAATAGCTTAATTTTTAATAGAATAGGCCAGTGTATTTTCTAACAGTATGCATTACTGATTATTTCAGTTTTGTTAATGTGGTACTTTACACATACATTAATTATTAGTTCAAAATTTTATCTTTGTCCCTCTGCTGTTAATGTTGCATTATCAAGAATAGCTAATACCAAGAGAGCTCAGAGCATACAATTCAAAGATTTTCCTTTTTGTGCTTTGATTTTAATTTGCCCTCATATCTCAGTCTCTGTAATCATAGTATTAACCTTGCTATGATTCTTCAGATCATTTCTAGAAAACATTACAATATTTTCTTGCAGTTGAGTGAAAGAAACAACACTCCGATAGTGACTGGTTCCTATGATCTAATGTGAAATTCACTCCGCTCATCTCATTGAATGTATAAGGCAGAGTATTCAAGCATATTTACTCAGTTACAAGGTAATTATAGTGTGATAACTAAACAACAAGGATATAAATGACTAGATGAGGTTCATTCCATGAGAAGAAGTGAGACTGTGCTTATGGAACCCTACTCTGATAGAATATTTAATAACATTGAGAAAATGGCATTACTTGATATTTGTCAGTACTACTTCCAACTATGAAGACTCTAATTATCTCTGTTTAAAACATGCGTCAGAATCTAATTGTGCCTTTTGTTGTTCTTATATCTTTTTTCGATTTTCTTTTTCTTTAATTAAAAATTTCTGCCTCCCTCCCATCCCCCCATTTCCTTCCCACCCTCCCCCTCCCTCTCCAGTCCTAAGAGAAGTCAGGATACCCTGCCCTGTGGGAAGTCCAGGTCTAGGAAGGTGTGAATCCAAACAGACTATGCTTCCAAAAAGCCAGTACACGCAGTAGAATCAAAACCCGGTGTCATTATCATTGGCTTCTCAGTTCTTATATCTTTCAATGACTTGTTGAATTAGTCAGCTTTTGCAAACTATGGAACAACCTTCACTATAATTATTACTTGTTAAATTATATAATAGTGAATGGTTAACCATTTTTATGATTTTTAGAAAAATTTTGTGCCTTAAATTCTTATGTTTTGCTTTATCTTCGTCTAAAGTTTTACTAGAACTATTTATAACTCTCCTCCTTCAACATCCCAAATACTTACCCTGTGGGCCACCAGTGTCCTGAACTGTCATTTCTTCTAATAAGTTCAATAAGTAGCCAAATTGTTTTGTTCTTGTTGTTGTTTCTTTCTTTCTTTCTTTTTTTTTAAATTACCCAGTCTTAAGTAACACAAAATGATATGACTGAACATAGATATTCAAACATTAAAAAACAAAGAAAACTTGGCCTTGAATCTCTGCATCTGCTTCCATCAGTTACTGGATGAAAGTTCTATGATGACAGTTAGGGTGGTCATCAATATGACTACAAGAGAAGGCCAGTTCAGGCACCTCTCCACTATTGCTAGGATTCCTAGCTGGAGTCATCCTTGTGAATTCCTGGGTGTTTCTCTATCCCCAGGTTCTCCCTAGACCCATAATGCCTCCATCTATCAAAATGCTTCTTTTATTTTTCTTCCTTTCTTTCCCTCCCCCAACTGGACCATTCCATTCCCTCATGTTCTCACCATCACCTGCCATCCACTGCCTACCCCCAGGTCACCCAGGAGATCTTACCTATTTTCCCTTCCTAGGGTGATCCATGCTTCTCAATCTAAGAGACTATAGGGTGGCTTGGACTTTCTGTAGGGCCTCTGTTTGTGAGGCTGAGGTTTATTCCTGGAGCATTAACTGGCTTTTTGGAGCCCATTCCCAATGGTGGAAAACTTTGTTCAACATTGATACAGGGGCAGAGGCTTGGTCCTGCCTTTAAGTGATCTGCAAGGTTTTGTTGACTCCCAGTGGGAGACCTTAATCCCTTTGAGGATCAGAGGGAGTGGGAGAAAGTGGGAGGAGCATGAGGAGAAGGGGAGGGAGCTAGAATTGTGGTTGGTATGTAAAATGAATAAAAAATTAAATACAACAAAATATTAAAAAGAAAAGTAATGTAATTTTGTTGGGTCCAGGATCAGGCAATGATGGGGGCATACCACCTAAGTAAGTTATTAAACTAGAAGCAAGCATTATTTCAGAAAAAGTAAAAAACCTTGGGACACGCAAAGCTTTTCAGCTATAGCTGTGAGCACAGCCAGAGATCAGGCTTCTGTAACTGTGGCAATGGGGGCTGGTTTTGGGAGTTCTCGTATAATAATATCAAGTACCAGGTGGTCAAAGAGCTTTTACAACCTTAGGTCAGGCTTAAAGTCATATTACATTTTGAGTTTTACAACTTTCGATTACAGGATGCTGGAAGGTTTACTTAGGATGTCTATGAAAGCCTGTGACTAATACAGCTTCTTTCTCATTGGCTAATTCATACATCTTAATATAACCCATTTCTATTAATCTGTGTATTGCCATGTGGCAGTGGCTTACTGGGTAAAATTCCCAGTGTCTGTCACTGGGAGATCCATGGCATCTCTCTGACTCTGCTTTCTTCCTCCAAGAATTCAGTACTGTCTTCTCTGCCTGCCTAAGTTCTGCCCTATCAGGCAGGTCCAAAGCAGTTTCTTTATTAACCAATGAAAGCAGCACAAGGACAGAAGGACCTCCTACACCAGTGACACAGAAGAGGATTCCATAGAGCACTAGTTAGAAGCTAAACTTTGTCTGCAGTACCTGCCTAGCTGGGAAGCTAGGAGGCAGGAGGCAACTGTTAAAACTGTTAAAAGTTTACCTCTTTCTGGGCAGTTGTGGTGCACACCCTAAATCTTAGAACTCTGGAGGCAGAGGCAGAAGGATCTTTGTGAGTTCGAGTCCCACTTTGTCTACAAGAGCTTGTTCCAGGACAAGGAACCCTGTCTCAGAAAAACAAACAAACAAGCAAACAGTAAAATCCAAACAAAATAGAACTGGAAAAGTTGTCATTAGTTTAGGTAGATTCCTCTGACACTCTGACATAGCATCATGTGTGATAAATTATTACAACTTACATTATTAAGGCATTAGCTTTTTACTATGAACACACTGTGGTTATAAGCATCTGCTACGTTCAAGTCTCCTGAGCTACTAGTTGTGAACTGTGAGTCCATGTGTCCTGGCAGAGTTGTCTTAAAAAGTAGCACAAAAATGAGTTCCAAGTGATAAAAGGAAAATCTCACCTCAAAAAATTGTATCAAAGCCTTTTCAACAGTTGTATAGTGCTCATATACCTCATGAAAATCTCGTAAAAATTTCATTAATGATGTGCATGTATGAAAGCAATTTTAAAAAATGTGTTACATGATCGTAAATTAATAGACAATTAAGAAAATGTTAATATTTATATTTTAAAGTCTACCAATTAGTTACATATTTATGCCATTCTGAAGCAAATTCACCTACTTTATTTATAGAATGTTATTGGTTTATATATACATATCATTATACATTTAAATTATGCTCAAAAATTAGATTAAATATCTTAAAATTATATGTTTAGCAACTCACAGATTTCTCTTCATAATAAGCAAATAGATAAATATACCAAACTTCTGGTGTTTGAGTACCTTAACAATTTTAAGAATCCCGAATTTACTATACTAAGGAAATAAGCATTTATCTAGGAAGAATGTATGTTTTTGTGATCTTCAGAAAGCACTCTTTACTGCATAAAAGAGTATTATTATATACTCATATATATATATATATTATATATAATATATAGTATTATTATTGTTATAGAGTTTTATTCTTCTATCTTCTCTTAATGTGCAGCCTAACAAACGAATAGAATGAATTTTTAAAATATCTTACTAACCCTGATTGTAACCCTTTCATAATACCAGTATCTTCCTAAGTTGTCTCATTTGGGATATTCTTTGAACTGTCCATACTCTAAATTTGGTGCTTTTATCTATTATTATTATGATTGTGTGTGTTCATGTGTGATGTCTTTGTTAGTATTGATGTGTGTAAGTGTGCCATATATATGATTTAACATCTTTTTTTCTAGTAAATTTATGGAATGATATCAACCTTCCAGAGTCAAATGAACAAATGTGTAGTCATAATTTTTCTATTTTATTTTAAAGTGTTCCTCATTCTCCTCCTGTTTAGTGTATGTTTACTTCAGGATTCTGCTATTTCACTTAAATAAGTGTAACTCACATTTGTCAATATTAAGTATCTAAACATTATCTTTGAATATTACCACTCATCGAAGTTAAGCTCTCTAAGATAAACAATTATTTTGGTACTATTAGCACAATTAAACTTTTAGTGAAATTTTTATCAGTGGTGTAAAACTTTCAGTCTTATTTTTCATAAAGCTATTTTGAACTTATTTTCTTTCTAATATATAGCACTCTTGGCAAGAGAAAAAAAAAGTCTTATTAGGGAAAGTAAAATAATTTATTTCCTTGTGAAGCCGTCCAACCATTTGAACTCAAAACTTGATTTCCTGTGCCTCTGAGCTACACTACATAGAAGTCAATCCTGGTAGGTTATAATTAGACATGTAGGATAATTCTAATGATGTCTTACAACTGATGGAATCAGCCTCAGCCCTGTCTACCACCTGATTACCATGGAAACCATTGCTGGCCAACCAAGTAATTCCGATCAAAAGGAATTATTATTAATCCTCCTAGTATATGTTGGGTAAGGATTTGCACAGTCTTTGTTAAAGTTTCTCGTGGAAGCTGAAAGGTCCAATAAGGGTAAATATTAATTCTTAATGTGCTGGAGAGCAAGAATGGCTTAGGCTCTGTGGGACACAACTGGCGTTCAGTAAATCAGATATTAACAGATTATAGGATCAGCCTTGCACTGCCCAGGGACTAGAGATAAACAGGTGGGTTTTACAGCAGGAAAGTAATTCCTAGAGCAGACTTAACCTCGTCAGGCTGAAATTCGGAGGAAAAAATGGAATGTGTACTGAATTTGAAACTTGCTATATTACATCTAAGGTAGCATCTAAGTTATGATACAATTACATGAAACCTTCTATTTTCTCCATCACATATGCAATATTGCTACAAGTGGAACAAGATGATGGTTATATGACAGATAAACAGCATTATACGAGATTTCTTCTATTATCTTTATATTTCCCCATACTAGTACTTTAAACTTCAAAGTCTTGTTAATAAGGCAGTAAAATAAGCATTACAAGTTACAAGTTACTGAACACAAAATCCTCTGTGCGTGTCCATACATTCATGCATGAATGTGTACTTTTGTGTGTATACATGCCTGCTTATGGTGGAGATTGAATCCAAGCCCTTGCATGCACTAAGAAGGACTTATAAAATTGTACCACACCCTAACATATGGAAAAATATTTAAATGAAAATCATTATGAATAGTTATATATTATAGATTTATTCTCCATATATTCAATATATAAATCAAGATTTTAAACATATGTTAAAACATCAATCTTAATTATACTATAATTTAACTTTACAAAGTCATAAACATTTTAAAATACCTTTGTTTTGCCTGTTATTCAGAGCACACACAAAATAAAATGGTAGTAACATAAAGAGTAATGAATCTCTTTAGAACAATACAATTTAAAATATGAACAACATTTAATTGTCTAAAATTTGAGCAATATAAAAATTTCTTAGTCGGGTTGTGTTGGTACATGCTTTTAATCCCAGGACTCCAGAGGTAGAGGCAGAAGGATCTCTGTGAGCTCAAGGCCAGTCTGGTCTACAAAAGCTAAGATACAATGCTACACAGAAAAACCCTGCTTAAAAAAGAAAAAGAAAAAGAAAGAAAATTTCTAAAAATAACCTCACCACCTATTTTCCTTTTAAAAAGCAGATTTTTATTGTAAAATAAAATTACTTTCAACTTAGTTGTACAGTGAATAAAAATTTACTTCAGTGTAATTGTGAAGGATGTTGTTTACTTAAAGAAAGAAATTATAAAACCATGGGGAATTAGTTCTTGGTCCTCTAACTTTATAGGTTACTTAACATATTTCTAATTTCCTTAGTTTTTAATGTGTAGTTAGCTCCTGTCTTTGAATTTGTTTCAGCAGTTGAGTTAGGTCTGGAATTGGCATTTGTAACTTATCATTATGAAATACATTTGTGTTTGCAGGCTGGGTAAACTGAGAAGGGAAATCCCATGTACATGTGTACAAGGAACTGTTTATACTGGTTGCTTACTTAATAATGGTAATCAAGAAGAGAAATCAACTCTCTATCTATCTATCTATCTATCTATCTATCTATCTATCTATCTATCTA